ATTTTCCTCATTTTTCTATCTTACATCAAAATTCAAAGATCTAAGTTTTGCTAAATCTTCAAGTATATAATATGAGAAGGTTTTCTTCTAACTTTTCCTACCATTACGACATTTGGCACTCTCTTTTGGTGACATGTGTCCTCCTTCATTTCATTAATGTTTGTTTTAATTTATTTAAAATCCTTAGCTTTGAAAGTTTGTGCCTACAATTTAATTCCAAAAAAAATATTTCTCTTATCCTATTGATACATTTGACATGTATTTAAATTGAAATTTGTATCTAATTTGTTTTGCCAAAATTATTATCTACTTAAAATCACCACTTATTCATCTGATTCAAAATAATGGATCAGTAAAATTTTAACTTCACAAAATATTAGTACATTTTTTAAACTTCTCATAATATTAGTACATTTGGCATCTATTTTTAAATTTAATTATTTTCCTCATTTTTCTATCTTACATAATATTTTAATATCTCCATTAAATACATTTCTAATCTTTTCTAATTTGTCTCTTCTTTTTTTCTTCTTTCCAATCTAACTTTTTTTATAAAAACAATTTCTCTTTTTTTTTATCTTCTTTCCAATCTAACTTTTTTTATAAAAAAAATTTCTCTTTTTTTTTCTTCTTTCCAATCTAACCTTTTTTAAAAAAAAATTTACAACACCAATTTATTCTCACACGTTACAACTCCAAGTTGGAGTATTTATTTAGAATTTTTATTACACAATACATTTAATGTATTTATATAGTATAATATAATTTACAGGAATTATTAAATTTAATATTTCATCCCATATATTGTTTTATAAATGTCTCAGTGAATAAAATTCTAACTTATATAACAGTCAATATAATTTTAATAAAGAAATATAGTAGCGTGCATTATATTAATGTATTGCTCCATGTGTTACGCTTACTCTCAAAATAAATGTTTGCAACGAATTTTTTTCTCCAGTAACGCTTTTCATGTGGCTTCTAATACCGAAATATATTAGTGTTTTTTTTTCTGTTCTGGAATTAGTTACCCAAAGTAAAACCCACAAATGAACTTATTAAAACATATGTAACGTCAAATAAGTCTAAATTGATGCATTAGTGATTAGGCTAATAGATAACCACAATAACTCTAATTAATTCAAACCAAACATTAAATCCAATTAATTCACAAACATGTACGCTAAGTCTACTTCTATATATTACCCACATGTGAAGCTAAAAAAACTATTGTGGAGTTTTTGCTTTTTCGAGTCCGTTCTTTTATTTTTATTGACTTTTAGTTGCTTTCTCTTTATTTCATGCTATCGTCCATTTAGTAAAAATATCTACAAAGTTTTCTCATTTGGTGTTCAATTTAGGTTTGTGATTTCATATGGTGTTCAAATTAGGTTCACCAACACCATTAGTTCTACATAAAAGTGTTCTATTTTTTTTTAAGTTCTATTTTTAATTGTTTCTCTATTTTTCAACTCACCAATAAGATTTATATACATACATTGAGAAAATTTATATCTATTATTTTGGTCAGTTAAAGTGTAATTATAAATTTAAGTATTTAGATAAATGACATTACATTATATTTATTAAATCTTTTTACTCTTATGATCTATATGTATTCATAAATTTGAAAACCATAAGTATGTTAAAAAAATTTATGATATAAATTGAAAAACCATTTATGTAATTATTCTCAACATCACTTATCAAAAAGTTAAGAGTTTGTTATCAAATTTATGAATATATAAAGCTGTTTCAAGATGATTTTGTTCTTTATTTCTTTTACATAATTACTCAACGTTTGAGAGGGATCGACGTTTGGGTTTCATATATCTCGAGTAAATAGTTTTTTTTTTTATTTTTAATATTGTATAACATTTGACTTGATTATGTTTTGAATTCAATTTTTTTTTAGTTTATCATACAAATTAAGTAAGAAATAAAGATCATATGAAAGAATATAAAATATGTATTTATTTTTATCAAGGTTTCCATAAAACCAACCCAATAAAATTCAACCAAAAAATTCAAAAAGTTCCACCAAAGGTTTTTTTTTTAATCTACCCTCATGGGATTTTTGAAACGAATTATGTTTGGTAAGGGCATTTGCATAGAATATACTAATTGACTAATTCAGTTAAAACCTAACATGCCATTAAAGTATTTAGATAAGGGATTATTTTCCTTTCTACCACATTTTGGTGGGTCCCTTACTGAATCTACCACTTTCTCAAAATCTTTTCTAAACTACCATATTTGTGTGGTAGAGAGGACACGGTGTGACGAAATTGCCCTTCTCTTCTGTTTTGAAGAGAAAACGATGGCGTCAGAAACGAGACCTGATGTAATGATGGCAAAGTAAAAATTGACTTTGCTTTTGAATAATCTTTTTCTAAATATTTATTTGACCAACACAAAAAAATTACGTAAGTTGAAACATATTTTGTATTTGCTATACATACGAAAGTTGTGGACAACATTTATTAACAAAACTATGTCATCATTACAAATTAACAAAATGGACAAGATTATGTAACAAAACAGAAATATAATCAACAAGGACCATAACATATATGATGCGTGGACCAAAAAATATAATGGACAAAAAAAACATACAATTTTGACTAGATCTTAGGATGTAACGAAGTGGAAGAAGACAACGAGAAGATCTTGACTTACTAATAGCGACAACGGCGTTGACGAAATTTGACGGTGATATCGTAGTCAATTAAACCATATCACGGCGGCGACGTTAAGGAGCTCCGCCGGTGACATCGTAGTCAACGGAACCACATCTCTTATCTTCTTTTCCGTTCTTCTAGATTTGAGTTGGACATATATTGAAGAGTGTTAGAGAGAAGATGGAGGAAGAAGATAGCAACGAAAGAAGAAAAGAAGAAAATGAATTAATAAAAAAAAATCATACTTTTGTTTGTGTGGAGGGCAAAATGGACTTTTCCATTTACTGAAAGTGGTATAGAAGAAGAGAAATGAGAAAAGTGGTATTTTTGCTAAGAGCATGTACTGTGTATGGTAGAAACGTTAGTTTTCTCTTTAGATAAACGGCATTACATTATATTTATTAAATTTTTGTACTCTTATGACCTATGTATATATATATATACAAATTTTATAAAGTGGCATATTTATTTTGTTTTCAAACAATTGAAATTATATATATATATATTAAAACTGAACTAAAGTTTTTTAAAATAAACTTTCAAAAATAATTTTTTATTATATCATCTGAAGTCATTTTTCTAAATTAAATATGATTATAATTAAGTGTAACATATATATTTGTTTTTTTGCGCAAAGACTTATTCAATTTAACTTAGGTTTGGGGCAGGCCCATTACAAGAGAAACCAGAGACTGTTTTGCTAATGAATCGACATCTGAGTTCTGCAAACGGGGAATGAAACTAAACGAAATAACATCAAAGGTAGAAGATAAATTCAGGATATCGAAGAGAATCCCATGAAGCTCCTTGTGTTGAAGCTCCGATTTTAAAGCTTTGACTAGCTGTGTTGAGTCGGAAGCGAGAGAGAGATGTGAAAAACCCAGATTAACATATATAAAATATGTTTTTGCTCATTTGGACCACCTTGCTATTTTATTAAATTTAATCATTATCACAAATTATTTATTTTTTCTTAAATTTTTAACATATACAAATAAAATTTAGCAAAAATAATAATAAATATGAATATGTTTTACCTTTGATCTCCTAATTTTATTATGGATTATATGGATATAATATCTAAACCTTATTGTCGAGGGAAAGTCATGAGATCGGGAAGATCTACCTTGTGATGAGATCCACCGAGGGAAAACGGCCAATATCAACCCCAATTATCAACTCGAAACCACATAAATGTCAAATAACAAACCTGAACTATGTAATCGTTAGCCAATTTTAACATATACATGTTATTAAATAATGTAACAAACTTGAATTATTTAACCTTTAGCCAATTGAATAAAAGAAATGATTCAGATACAAAAGAACATATAATTACGACTTAACAATTCTAATCGACATTAACAAATACAAAAAAAAAAAAAAAATTGTGCTGAAATTGGATAACGGTTAGAATAGTTTAGGTTTGTTTTTTTAAAATTGTATGAGTTCGGGTTGATTAGTTCCGGGGGTCAGAGTTTGGGATGAAAAAAGCCGCATAGAAATAGTTGAAGTTGATTTTGGCCGTTTTCCCAATCCAAGATCATGAAGCAGCAAACAAGAGACTCTACGATGAGGTATGATATATATTTCCACAATAAAATATTTTATGTAAATGAAGAAAAAGTAGTGATATATATTTATGTCATACCATCTTGAATAAAAAAAAGAACAGAATTTATTTTTTAGCAATTCACAAAAGTAATTCGAAAAGAAACATAAAAGTTAATATTTAAAATTTTTTTTCCAAAAAACTATATTAATAATCGAACGTATTACTTTAATACAAATATCATAATTATTCAGAATTAATATTAAATATATAACCCACGCATCGCGTGGGCAGCTTTCTAGTAATATATATAGATGGGTATATATAGTATAAACATGTTTATTCCAGATGTGTAAAAGAAAAAAGTTTCTTCTAAATAAACTAAACCATACCAAAACATAAAATTATAGAAAAAAAATTTATATGATCAATAAAGAAAGAAGCCGTGGCACGAGTCACCTACTCATCACTTAAACCCAGTCCATCATCATAAATAAAAAAATTTATTTTCTATGTAACATTTTGTAACGTTATATTTTTGGTATAATTGGTAACTGATAATCATCTATTTTGTTTTAATGTCTCAAACTTAATATAAAGTTACAATTTCTTCATTTGTTTTTTATATTTTATATATATATATATATATATATATCTTATGTTTTATTTTCATATTTTATTTATATTTCGTCAAGAAAATACTTCTTTTCAATTTGAAATAGTTATAATATACTGTTAGACTTGTAGTAAGAAAAATTTATCATTATAAAACTTAATTCGATATATTAGAAAATATATGATATATATAAACCTATCCATTTACGTAAAATACCGTCTTCTAAAACCAAAGTGAGACGCATAGGACTTATTAAAGCTAAAAGGAAGGAAATAGAATTTGTTTACTTGGGCAAGAATGATGTCAGAATCGCCTGCGTAGACAAAACAAGAACTCTCGAGCCAAACCCCTTCGAGTCTGTAATCACATTTCTTCTCCTCTTTGTTGTCAGCCAAAAACACATCAAGTTTGGTCGTTATCTGAACCATGTTTGATCTTTTCACCGTGTATAGCAGATCACCCTCCTCCGTACTCCCTCCTCTAAACACTAGCCACCTGTCATGCATGGTCATTATCTGCAATCACCAAATCTTAATTATATTAATAAATCTAGCTCTATTATTAACTATATATAAAGTTATGTGCTCTGTTTTTAATAAATTTGTACCTTCCCTTTCAAAGTCAAGACCTTAGTTCCAAAACCATCCAACAAGATCCTCTTCTCGTGAAGACTAAACAAAGGATCCTTCACCTTGAACAACAAGTTTCCGTCCGCATTCGTTATCACGAAGTTACCATCCGTTATCTTCAACACCTTCCGTACGATCGCCAAATCTACAGGGTGCGGAGAGCAGTACTTTGGATCTACTATCACTCTGGCTTTTGGAGGCGGCGGAGGAGCCGAAGGGCCAGTTCCTTGTGGGTAACGGTACACATAGGGCTGCTGCATTCTTTTCTTTTTCCTCCAAATATGGATACTCTCTCTCAGTTTTGTTTTGAAATGTTTTTTTTTTTTGGTCTGGTTATGCCGTGAAGATAGAGTGAAAGGTTCTTATAATTTATAAAGTAAACATCTTGCTCGAATATGTTGACTTTTAAAAGAGAAAGGTCTACTTGGATAAACTTATTATATAGATTTTTCTTTTTAAAATTGTAATAGTTTTTATATTAAGATATATTTATAAAAGGAGAAAAAAAAAAAACAATATGTATGGAAATAAGGAACCCTAATCACTTGTTCCTCTGTTACAATCCCCTGTGACTGTCACTTAAACACATAACCACAAGTTTGAGAACCAAAACACAAAAAAAATTTTAACCAAAACATTTAAACACAAATTCTTAAAAATTTAAATTTTAAGAACCTCTTTAGAGGTTCTACCATTGGACTAAGTAAAACATAAGAACTCATGAGGGGTTTCTAAACTTTTGATTTTGCAAAATTTAAGTTGTATTGGTAAGAACCTCCTATGGGTCCTTACCATTAGCGATGCTCTTACTCAACCAAACATTTCAAGACTAATTACCTGCCCATTATGTTTTGATTTTTGTTTGAGATAAACAATATCTTTATTTTGATCTGCCATTTGAGTTTGTTTATGTGTATTGTGCTAGTGTAGTTAATTAATTTGCGTAGAATATTATTGTGCCATTTGAGTTTGTTTGTGTATTGTGCTAGTGTAGTTAATTAATTTGCGTAGAATATTATTGTGCCCTTTGAGTTTGTTTATGTGTATTGTGCTAGTGTAGTTAATTAATTTGCGTAGAGTATGATTGTGTGTATAATATATGTTCAACTGGACACGGTAAACGAACCAGAAGCCGAAGAAACTTCTTCGAGTGAGACGACTTTTTAGGATTGACTCTGGTAATAAAGTGCAGATGTGGGGAAAAGGAGATTTTCATACCCGTACTATCTGCACCGTGGATTTTCATACCTGGATAATTTCGTAGGGTATTTTACAACCTAAACTTCAATAAAATTTGAATCTCATACCTATACTTGATACAATGTGCAAAAATCAGAGTCAATCTAACGGGTGTTAGTCAACTCCGTTACGGTGCTGAGTCATCGTACACGTGTATGCTGACGTATATCAAAACGACGTCGTTTTCATACCCGTACTGTCTGTGCCGTGGATTTTCATACCTGGACAATTTTGTAGGGTATTTTACAACCTAAACTTCAATAAAATTTGAATCTCATACCCTATACTTGATACAACGTGCAAAAATCGGAGTCAATTTTGTAGGGTATTTTTGCACGTTGTATCAAGTATAGGGTATGAGATTCAAATTTTATTGAAGTTTAGGTTGTAAAATACCCTACAAAATTGTTCAGGTATGAAAATCCACGGCTCAGATAGTACGGGTATGAAAACGACGTCGTTTTGATACACGTCAGCATACACGTGTACGATGACTCAGCACCGTAACGGAGTTGACTAACACCCGTTAGATTGACTCCGATTTTTGAACGTTGTATCAGGTATAGGTATGAGATTCAAATTTTATTGAAGTTTAGGTTGTAAAATACCCTACAAAATTGTCCAGGTATGAAAATCCACGGTGCAGATAATACGGGTATGAAAATCCCCTTTTCCCTGCAGATGTGTATATAAGAAATTGGCAACTCTAAAATATTTAAGGAACAATTCACAAATGCTACTAAAAAAAGATCTTTTCGTAATTAATTGTTAATTATTTACACTAGCACAATACACATAGACAAACTCAAATGACATATCAAAATAAAAATATTGTATATCTAAAACAAAAATCAACACAAGAAAGACGACTTTTAAGGCCATGTCCATCGGTATGTCAATGGGGGTTTTAAAACAATTTAGAATACTAAAAAAGATATTTAGGTGAGAGATAATATATTTGGATGAAATTAAATTTTCGGTATTACGAGTCTAAACCCGTGACAATGATAATTTTATGTCACATTTCTACCCATTTTAACCTCATGCGCCTGACGTTTTTTTTTTTTTTTTTTTTTAATTTCTGATTTTTGGATTATTATTTTTTTATGTTCATCTCTCTCTCTCTTTTCCTTTCTAAACTTTGTTCGAATTATTCAAACCAAACAGAAAAACATCACCGTGTTTACTATTCATACTGCCTTACCAGAGAATTAGATGGTACATCTATTCGCCTAAAAATATAATTTTCACGATACAAATAAGGATTTAAAACAATTTTTGAACCTCCACATATAGTTCTACAAAGCGTATATTCATATCTAAGGAACGTAGATGGGCGATACAAGGCTCATGCGTTCACGACTCTAAGCATGTCCCAATTAGTTAATAAATTAATAGTTTTCTATAAATTTAGCTACATGTCCATACACTTTCATAGAGTTATATATCGATCTATATAGTGCTAAATTTATTAATAGATATCTACGCAATTAGGTTAGTGGTTAAAAATTTGTAATTTCCGCCCATATTTTCGAATGGCTAATGATTTCAAACTGATTTGGAAAGATTTAAAAACAATATAACAACTAGTCCATTATTCAAATGATTTTTTTCTTCATTTGTTTTCAAATTTTTTTTTAAATCTTTATTCACAGTAAAATTACATAAAACGTTAATTAAATTTTCAACACAAAAAATCCCGCATTTTCTTGCCCAAAACATCATTCGACAAAATTATGACAAATAAAACGTGATTTCAAAATTTTCTGCCAAAAATCTGATTTCACAATTCTATGGTTTTCCATGGAAAACATGATTCAATTTTTTTTAATATTGAAAAAATTAAAGAAAGATATCCGAGTGTGCTGTTTCTTCGTCTCCCAATCATTTTTTTTTTTTTGGGAATCTTCTCCATCATCATCTTTTTGATGTTTATTATTATCCATGAGAGCATAGTACTTGCAAGGAAAAGAGAGATCATAAATGGTAGCTTGCAAAAATCTTAATTGATTCTAGTCCGAGTACTCACAGGAGCTGTACCCTTAGATATGGGAACTTTTTAAAATGGTTTGTGTGTTCTCTATGCATGGTGCTATTATGTGTGTGACTGATCGATGACAAATAAAATAGAGATATTTCATGCATAGCCAGGAGATCTTCACGAAGCTCAATCCATGGATTTGGCTAGTCAATCATTAGCATGGTTGTTGTTGCATTTCGAAGCCATAGTCGTCTAAGCGTTCCGATCTTGAGGATAGTGGATTCAATATATATTGAACGTCAAAGCTCTTTTTAAAGATTGTGAATCCAAATGAAGATAAATTCTATATGAAGAAGGTGAACTTTGGTAGTTCCAAATAATAATCATCCAAGTATGACGATTCTAACAAAAACAAGCTGGTTCTGTTAATAAGCCAGGGAATCAGCTATATCCGCAAAGGAGATAACTACGAAAGCAAAAAGAACGAGATCGTAATTGAAATAAATCACATAGCACAAAGGCCCAAATTAACTTAGGATGAAAATGTCATGCACTAATTTGGAAAAATAGATTTGTACATGTATGGAGGAAGGTATCCTTATCTACAACATTGGAAATTTCATTCAAGAAAAAGTAACATTAAACACACAAAAATAAAACTTGATGTCAGTTTGGAAAATGTGCAACGATCACACCTAACTTCTTCGGTCAATCTTTATTTGTGATTTCTCTCTCATAGCTTCTCTCATCTTACGCATCGCGCTTTCATGTGCTTCAGAATTCTGTTTAAGCCTCCTCTCCAACTGAAAAATAAATAGACTATATTACACCAAAATAAACAAGTGAAAAACAACTATAGTTCAAAGTGTGTCAATATGAATTTACAAGTTGTGTCATCCGTCTCATTTTTTCGTCATGCTCCAATTCTAAATCACGCTTCATCACTTCTATTTCTTCTGCAAAGTTTTTAGACTTAACTTTCCTTTGTTGTTCCCTAAACTTATCACCCTTTTCCTGGGAAACCGATGAATTTCGTCACTTAAAAATACCATACGAGAGATCAAACACACTTTTTATAATGAATGCATATCAAACATAAAATTTCTACCTTTATCATGCGATGCATCTGGTTAGTATACGGTTTCACACCATTATTCTTTTCAATAGCTTCGACATGGGCCAGAAGTTGCTTGACTTGCTTAGTGTTCTTGACTATATCCTTAGTCATGTTATTAAACAAGACTTTTCGACCACCACACAGTCGAAGAACTCTCTGAAATTTGACGATTACTTAAATCAAACTGAAAGAAGACATGTACTACTAGATGCATTATAAAACAATTGTGAGGATTTTAACGTCAGAAAACATACTGTCAAAAACTCTGGACAACCTTCACGAAAATAATCGTCCAATGTCTGCTCGTTTGCTTCTAGTTTGTCACCCCCAGTGAACACAACAATAATATAGTCAAGAATCTTACTGTCGAAAATCAACTGCAAGGTATCAAGTGTGGACTCTTCTTCTTGTGTAATCCGATTCCCGGCAGATAAAACGAACAGGAAGGCATGAATTCCTCCTTCAGCCATAGTTAAGCAATTGACGATCTCCCTACTAATATAGTTAGCAGACACTGATGAATCAAAGAGACCTGTTTCATGGTACTATAGTAAATTAAGTACGACTTTGATGAAAATAGTTTTAATACAAAGTTGGTTACATCACAAGTTTTTAATGGAACACATACATACCAGGAGTGTCAATCACATTGATTATTGGACCATCTTGTATTGCAGTTCTATACATCTTGCATTCCATGGTAACACCTCCCGCTTGTAGTTCTGAAGCGAACATTTTCTGACCTAGGATGGTGTTCCCTGTTGCGCTTTTTCCATTTCCGGTACGCCCTACTAGAACTAAGTTTTTAATTGGCTCTGACGAATTGGAAACTAGAATGGAGAAATAAAGAATTTAATTAGCAGTGTATACGAAAGGGAAACTCACAAGCTTCCTTGATCTCTCTATGTAATATGTATGATAGCAGTAGAATTTTTGCGCTTACAATGAACATATTTCTTGTAAAGGAAAAAGAAGAATTATGATGAATGAAAAAAACAATTGACTAAGTAATTAGAGTTTTACTATTAGAATGGTTGCCCGGGCCTGAGATTATGTGTAGGTGTATTAGTCTTTCTATTTCAATGTATAAGTTGTTTTAAGGATTATATTTGGTTTTGATTTTCTCATATTCCTATGGCTTTTAAACGGATGTTGCAGACATAGTAGACTACACCGTTAGGAGAACAAACTATCTTAGTTTTGTGGTAGATAACAATCCACCGTCGCAGACCAAAAAAGATTAAGAACATGACATATTTCTAAATTGTTTGTGATATTAGCTTCAAAGTGTTGATAATTAAATTCAAACCTGGCATCACATATGTCATTATTGACATTAAAAAAATTTGCACTTGAATTGTATACCTGATATGGGAAGTGAAGACAGATATGGATCATGCTGAAATGTGTCGTTTAGGGAATGCGACTCTCCTTCATGTGCTGCTACACTCTGTTTTAGTACATATGATTTCAAACAAATTATTTGCTTCACATAATTGTTAAACAATAACAGCAAAAACAAACTTTGTATAAATAAGTACAAATGTATTATAGTAAAAGTATATAACTACTTGACAAAACTAATCAGAGCCAGCTTCCTATCAGTTCTGCTAAGAATTGTCCTCATCAAAATTAACCTTCCATGCCTCTAGTATCACAGGTTCTACTCCTGACTTGAAGCCTCTCTCTATCACTAATCGAACCATTGTCGCTACTATAGCCACTAAAACAACAACAATATCAGAATCTCTCTCTTCCTATGTTGCTACCATTGATGTTGCAACTTCATAATCTACTGAAACATTAGCAGCCGAGACAAACAAAGTTATGCCAACATGCACAACCCCGTTACCAAATATGCTCAGCGGATCTTGAGAGACTGAGAAACTGGTAAAAAAAAAAAAAAGAGATGCAATGGACTATTGTTGGGGGTCGTAGGAGCCGTGACCATGGTGGGCGAGGCAGTCGTGGTAACCGTCACTAATGATCTTGCTCTTCTCTATATATCTTTCTCCCTATTCTTTATTAGCTAATGCTATCTCATATCTTTTTTCTCATGAACTAGACTAGGTGTATGTTTTTTTCATCTCTCTAACTCTCTTTAAGAAAATAACTATGAATTTTAATTGAATATGATTATAGAAAAAAAAATCTTACCTTTATATGATGATACATATCGTTAGTATACGGATTTATTTTCTTACTAATTGCTGCGACATGGGCCATAATCTGATTGACTTGTTCAGCCTTCACGCCTTCATCATTAGTCATGTTATTAAACAAGACCTTTCGGGCATTGCAGAATCTGAGAACTTTCTGAAATTCCAAAACTAATCATACTCAAAAACAAAATAAAGAAGGGAAAAAAAAAAGTGTGGACAAGGAATTTTTGCATTTTGAGAGAAAGCAGACCATAAGAAATGCAGGACAACATTCCCGAAAATAATCTTCAAACTCGTTCGCCTCGAACTTTTCCCCGTTAGTGAGCAATAAAATCATATATTCAAAGATTTTACTCCCAAATATGCGCTGCAGGGTATTAAGTGCATACTCTTCCTCTTGTGAGATCCTATTCCTTACAGATAGAACAAACAACACAGCATCTATGCCTTCTTCGACCAAAGTTAAGCAATTGATTATTTCTTTACTTATGAAGTCTTCGGACACGGACAAATCGAACATACCTGTATCACGTACATACCATAGTAAAACCAGAGTTTGAACAATTTAGCCTTGGCCAATATAGGAAGGAACTCTTAGATACAAATATATTATGACTATTGGTAAGGATATCCATTTAGGTATATTTCCTATTAATGATTTTGATGAGTGTAAATAAGATTGTTAGGCTAAATATGAAGTTTTAATGGAGTACATACCAGGAGTTTTAATCACATTGATCATTTGACCATCTGGTGTCGTGGTACTATACATTTGAGAGTGCATAAAAGCACCTTCGGAGCTGAACTTTTTTTGACCGAGGATGGTGTTCCCAGTGGTGCATATTCCATTGATAGAACGCCCTACTAGAACTATGTTTTTAACCGGCTTAGGCACGGACGTTCCCATGTTCTGATCACCAGCAATGTTTATGTTTTTATCCGGCTTAGACGCGGACGAACCCATATTCTGATCACCAGCAAGCAATTATTTGCTAAATTCCTGGACGTACCCATGTTGACCAAAGAAACAATTCATGAAATGATACATAGTAAAAAATGGGACAATAAAGAACAGTTTTGTCGTTGATAAATTTTATTTTCCGAAAAAAAAATGAAGAACAAATACCAAATGGAAACTTGCAAGCTTTCTTGTCGTTTTGTGAGTGAAGAAAAGAATGAATTTACAAAGTTTATCAACCAACAATTCAAGACTAAATGGACGATTACCTACCCAACATTGTGTGTTGATTTTGGTTTGAGAGAAACAATATTTTTATTTTGATATGCCATTTGAGTTTTTTTTTCTTAATTAATTTGCGAATAATATTAGTGTGTATAGTATATGGTTAACTGGACACGGTAAACGAACCAGAAGCCCAAGACACGTTTTTGAGTGAGACGACTTTTTACGATTGACTTTTGGCAGTTCGTGCCAATAGCCATCTAGGCGAAGAAGACTTTTTTTTTATTACTAACTTTTAGGAACTGGAAACGTTAAACGAACAAGAAAGGCCACTGCGAGGCACTAATATTTGAAGATCTAAATTGTTTGTCTAGCTTTGTCCCACCACTTAAGAGAAAAAAAAAAACAAATAGTAAAAAAGAGAACACACTAAGTTTATTGACTTCAGGTCCAAACCGGTATCTTATATCTCGCCAATAGATTTGTTGGGTTCTACAAACTTATATTTCAGAACTCCATAAAGAATTAAAGATCACCCATGTAATATTTCAGAACCCATCCGAAAACTAATCTATCGATTTATTTAGATTAGTCTCTAATGGAAGAGATGACTTGTTGTTCTTTATCTCGAAAGATTTTTCACATAAAAGCACAATAAAATATCTCATTCAATCAAAAATATTTTGTTCGAGGAAAGATTTAGGTGACGGTGTGGAAAATGAAAATGACCATTCGACTTACCAATAAAAACTGGTAAATTTGACAAAACAAAAAAAAAATCTGGTAAATAGCTAGGTAAACAAAACTCGAATTTGTCTTAAAAAGAAACCATAATCATGCATATGCATTTCAAAACCATATGTGAGAAAATTAAATCCATACTATGTTCAAGTGAAAAATAATTGAAAACAATCAAGCAATTAATCATCAACTTAGAAATCAATAATCTAGCCAAGAGATCAACAAGGATCTTCAAAAATTTCTAGGTGATTCACGAAACATCATACGATAAATAAGGGCGTCAAATTCCAAAGCTGATGATTCTTTACATGAAGGATAAATCATTGTCCCCAATGCAAATACAATGCATTACTAAATGCATTAAGACTTGATTTTTATGAAAGAAGACATGGATGTCTATATGCCTTGTTTTCAATTTTTATTGAGAGAAATAATGTATAACTACATTTACGTACACAATTATTGGAAATAAATCTTAGCACACGTGATGAATATGGCCTTTTTTCTTACAATATGAGAGAGTTGGAGAGAAGTAAAAAAAAAAATAGCACACAAAATGAAAGTATGGAAATTGGAATTTGTGAATCAATCACACCGAAGCTTTGTTGTTGATATTTATTAATAGTGTTGGCGACATCACATAATATTGCATTCACATGTCTTACCCTTTTCGGGGGATTGAAGCTTGTGTATGTCTTGTTGAAATGTATCTTTTAACTGATGCATCTCTCTTTCATGTGCCATCCCACTCTGTTTTAATGCATTTTCCATCTGAAGGATAACCAAAGTATACTAAGTTAATAGTATGCATGAAAAATAAATATTCAAGCTTACAAAATTTTAAATACGAAGTTACCATTTTTTCCATCATGTCCATGGTTTGTCTATCTTTCTGTTGAAGTGTGTCTTTCAGCTGACGCATCTCTCGTTCATATGTTTCCGCACTCTGTATTAACACATTTTCACCAGAAATAAAACCAAATAATACTAAATTAACTGCATCAATGAATAATAATATGCATACTAAGTAATGTTATGAAGAAGAATGTACCATTTGCGCCATCATGTTGGTTTGTGTGACTTTCAGCTGGAGTGTCTCTTTTAGTTGACACATTTCTCTTTCATGTACCATTGCACTCTGTTTTAATGCATTCTCCATCTGACATAAAACCATAAAATACTAAAAATTCCATGGAGATAAGAATAAGAATTGACGTTTACAAGTTGATAAACACGAATCAACTATTTATTTCACCATGTTCATGGTTTGTGTGTCTTTCAATAGGAGTGTGTCTTTCAGCCGACTCATCTCTATTTCATGTACCATCGCACTCTCTTTTAATGCAGTCTCGATCTGAAATAAAACCATAAAATACTAAAAATTCCATGGAGATAAGAATAAGAATTGACGTTTACAAGTTGATAAACACGAATCAACTATTTGTTTCACCATGTTCATGGTTTGTGTGTCTTTCAATAGGAGTGTGTCTTTCAGCTGATTCATCTCTATTTCATGTACCATTGCACTCTCTTTTAATGCAGTCTCGATCTGAAATAAAACCATAAACTACTAGAATTAATCCCATGGAGATAAGAATAAGTATAATTGACCTTTACAAGTTTATAAACATAATTAATTAACCATTTGTTTCATCATGTTCCTCGTTTGTGTGTCTTTCAAAAGGAGTGTGTCTTTCAGCTGACTCATCTCTCTTTCATGTACCATAACACTATTTTGTAACGCATTCTCCACCTATATGAAAGCGAGAGAATAAGAAATTAATTGGATTTTGAAAAAAAATTATATACAAGCTTACAAAGTTTATGAATTCAAGTGTACCATACATACCATCATCTTCATGATTTGTCTCTCGTTCAACTGAAATGTGTCTTCGAAATCACTCATCTCTCTTTCCTGTGTTGTTGCACATTGTTTTAACTTGCTCTTAACATGCTAGATAATCAGACAATATTGAATTAACTGCATGGGCTTAATGTATAGCCAACCACCTCTCGAATGTATTGACTAACTAAACCTAATATCAGGAAAAGCATACGAGATCAATTTATACATGCACATATCAAACACAATTTTTTTTTACCTTGATCTTACGGTCCATCTTTTCTGTATACGGTATCCCACCATTTTGCTTTCTAATATCCGTGACATGGGCTAGAAGCTGGTTAAGTTGCTTAGTCCTCTGGCCTTCATCACTTGTCCTGTTATCAAACAAGACCTTTCGTCCTCCACATAGTTCGAGAATTCTCTGAAAATTCATGATTATAACAAGAAAAGTAAAACAGAAATATTAGTCGTTGCATTTAAAGAAAAAATAAGATCGTAATGAATGCGAGCTGACCGTCAAAAATTCAGGGGAGTATTCACGTATAAAATCGTCCAACGTCTCGTTTTCAGATTCCAAAAAATCACCACCAGTGAACACGATAATGACATAGTCAAGGATTTTATTACCAAATATGCGCTGCAATATATTAAATGGTTCCTCCAACTGTCTCCTTTGCACAGACAGAAGAAACAACACTGCATGTATTCCTCCAGGCGCCATAGATAAGCAATTGATTATTTGCTTACTGATATAGTCTTCGGATACATATGGATCGAGCAAACCTGTAGCACGTACAATGTTACATTCCTACTTTGATGAATTCAACTTTGCTATTGTCACAAATCTATATTACCTGCCAACAGTGCCGGCCCTTAGCATAAGCAAGGGAAGCGGCCGCTTAGGGCCTCCACTTAATATTGTATATTGCTCACACTTTTGTAAGTAAATATTTGTCTATTTTGTATGATATGTTTCAAGTTTTTCTTACGTGTTGAATTTAGCCATGTAATTCTCTAAGGGATCATGTGAGTCCAATGTTATTTGTTTTTTTACTGACGTGTAGATGATGAAGTGGTTTAAACAAAAGAAACTTACAAAATATGTTGTGTAATCATAAAAACATATACATATATATAGTTTTAGCAATCAAATATCTATAGTTTCATCTCTTAATCATTCATGACAACTAAATTATACAGCTAAATTTGAAAAAATGGTATGTTTATTTTCTAAATTTTTTTTAAAGTACATTTTGGTTGACAAATTTTTTTTTTCCGCTTAGGGCACTCAAAATGTTTGGACCGGCTCTGCCTGCCAATGCCAATCATACTTGTAGTATGTCTATAATTAGAGAAACAATTCCCAAATGACATTAAATGCTGCTTTGGTGTATATAATGTTTGAACTAAGACTCTATATGAAGTTTTGATGGAGTTTATACCAGGAGTGTCAATCACATTGATTATTGGACCATCTTGTATTGCGACTCTGAACATCTTACATCTCTCGTCCTTATCTTCTTCACGTAATTTTGATTTGAAATATCTTTGACCGACGATGGTGTTCCCGGTGCTGCTTTTTCCATTTCCGGTAGGACCTAAGAGAACTAAGTTTGTAACGGGCCATTCCTGCTCAGCCATATTTTGATCACCACCAAGACGTTGCTAATTTCCTGCACGCATCCATAGTATTACCAAGAAATTATTCATGAACAAATACATATTTAAAATGAGAATGAAGAGAAGAAAAAGTTAATCGATAGACTACAACAAACAGGAACTCACGATCTTTCTTATTTTTTTTTTTTTTTTAGTGAAGAACAAAAGAAAAACTTAATCAACGAAGCAGTTCAAGACTAAATAGAAGATATTATGTGTTGATTTGGCTTTGAAAACAGCTATATCGTTATTTTTATGTGTCCTATGAATTTGTTTATGCTTTTGTACTAGTGTGATTAATTTAGGTGTTACAATATTATGTATATAGCGTGGAACAAGAAACGGTGAAGGAAACAGAAAGGCCAAGACAACTTCTTGAGGAGTGAGAGACAACTTTTGAGCATTGACTTTATTTAGTAATTATAACTTATAGCCACCTAGGGGCATGTGTAGTGGGAGAACCTTTTTTTAATTAGTATCTAGTTTAATAACTTTTATATAATATAATTTTTAATTAAAAATTTAAACTATAAATAAAACTCATGACTAGTTATATTTAGACATGTGTCATATGAGTCTCTCCATGAGTTCTCAAAATCTCTCAAATGAGAGACTCACTTTATTCTCTTTCTTATTTTTTCAATATTTCATAATTTTGTATGGGTGAAAGACTCAATGAGAGACTCCCACTAAACATGCTCTAAACGGATGTGATTTGTGTGTGCGATTTAAGCATGAAAGCGATGTTGTGTGTAAAATTAGAATGGTAATGCTATTCAAAAGTAATGTGATTATCCATATTTTCGAATGACTAACGATTTGGAACTGATTTGGAAAGATTAATTTAAAAACAAAATAACAACTAGTCTGTCATTCAAATG